TGCTGATTTCGACCCACCCACCACCCTACCGAAACATTCAACCTTGCTCGGTAACTCGCGAAAAATAAACTTTTGTTTGTTTACCGAGAAATTAGTTCATTCGAACTGAAGGGGGTTTAGACGGACCCGGTCCAATCGGTGACTTGACGGCCAAAACACCAATCATCTTGTCGGGGTTTCCAATGGAGTGTGATTGGTTGGATTCACTTGAAGTTACGACGAATTCATTTGAAGTTGAAAAGGTATAGAATTCTTTCGATATCAAGATCAGGAAACATTCGTTTTACTTTGGATGAGATCATGACCTTCACGCCGTTAGAATGCTATATCCAAAACGATCAATTACTACATGCGAAAATATTCGTCCGCTTACCCGATCTCAAGTTTGAGGAAATTTTACGAAAGATACATCGTACAACGGTTTCTTGAAATCCAAACTTAAGAAGAAATCCTTACTTCAATAGTAGGATTTCGATCGAGCTGAGATGTTGACCAGTATCTTTGTCGGGACGGGATAGATTTTGTGGTTGGAACCTGTGGAGGAAGGAGACGTAAATACAGATAGGTCTTTGTGTGATGAGTGGATGCCATTCGAACACATTTAATTTACGTACTTAAACCAATCATCAACAAGTCCATCGCAAGAGATACTTGTCAACTACAACTTGGAAATGTGGATAACATGATTATTGTTTTGGAGTCCACTCCTCAGCAAAATAAAATCAGCATTCTACGGACACAGGCAACTCCCAGAATAGCAAAGAAGTTCGTTCACAGGTATTGATAAAACTTGTGCGACCCGCTTTTCATCATATTTGGTCCTCTCAAGGCCTGGTGTTATCAGCGTCATTCACGGGAATGAATCTGATACTGCCTTACATCGGATGTAACATATCCGTAAAAATATCCAATTATGTAGTTCCTTCTACTTGCAAAATGCTTTTACGGTTTCTCGATTCTGACGATGGTTGCAGATGAATCAGTTGCAAATTATCAAAATGACCCATCGATCTGATAAGGGTATTGCACTCTCATTTCGTATGTATTTTATATTTGTTTTCTTACGAACACTACGGGAAATCGTTTTAACATGCAACCCACCACGTCAACTGTCCAACAGTATGTGCCAGTTTCCTCTAATACATACAGCACTCTAACCACTAACGACCACTATCGAGGTGGATAACTTATCCATTTTTCTCACACCGAGGAAGGTTTGCGGTTACACTCGAATCCCAACTGCCGGGCGCTAATTGAATGAATTTCGACTTTGGACTTGAGCGCTCTAGAAACGGCATAAATGCGGAAAAACAATAGTTGACGAGGCTCAACTGTTTTCCATTTCGCCTGTTCGCCGAGCTTGGCGATACGCTTGCAAACGTTTCAACACCAGCCGAGGTGACATCATCAGTGCTTGTGAAGTGAATGAAGTGAGAGAACGACAGATGGAACAACTGGAAGATGCAATAAGTCGATGAGTCAGAAATGTCGAAAGAAAAAGAAAACTGGCACTCTCAAGAATGCCCCACAAGCTAGATGATCATGTGCTAATGAATGAAAATGAAAATTGGGTCCGTAATCTGTCCAATCGCGTGATCACACGGGATGAAAAACTAATCCTCATTGAAGGACTTAACTTCAACATCAGAAAGGCCTCAAATAAAGAATACTTGACGGAACTGGAACACACAAATAGTCCGCAATACCTGAGGAGTCAAAACAAACCGTCCGACAAACAATCTTCCCAGCTCTGATGCGAAAAGGAAAACCCATCATGCTTTCAAACCGCGAGGTTAAAGCACTCAAAACGCTAAAGATGGACACAAGTATAGTCATCTTACCAGAAGATAAAGAACGAATTACTGTGGTTATGGACAAAGCTGACTACATACAAAAAGCCAAAGAACTACTCCAAAACACAAACAACTACCGCAGAATCGACGCGGATTACACCACCAAACTGAAAAACAAAATCAACACCACACTGAAACGACTAGAAGAACAAAAACGGTCACTTCATCAGCACTGACGAAGTCACCTCGGCTGGTGATGAAACATTTGCGAGCCAATTGCCAAGCTCGACAAACAGGCAAAATGGAAATCAATGCACTCGGGCTACGAGAACCGATTTTTATTAATTTATCAACTTAACCGTTTTCTACTGCCAAACTTAGGCTAGAAGATATAATATGACTTCCGATAATGTATTCCTAGGGTGACAGTAATCGAAAACCTTCCTTTTCAGTTCAACAAATTTTGTGATATGCAGATCTGTATGTGCAGGAGACCAATAAATAACAAGATGCTAAGTGCCTACGTCCCTTCCGACTCGTTAGGCGGGGTGAATACCTACTTCTTTAGTCACGTAAAACGAAATTCATTGGAAGACCAGGTCAGTAGAGCAGGTTTCCGCGCCTGTTGAATTATTCGTCATTCAACAGTGAGATAAACCCAATGCCAGACAGACGGGCGACACGAGTTGAATTTTTTGGTAAAATCAATCCATGCACTGCTTAGTTAGGCGTTCAACGATAGCTTAATATCAGGTGAGGGATCATTTGTCAAATAGTAGCGGGAGGAAAAAATATCTAATAAGTCTGGACTATTCTACACTTTGGTTTTGTGCAACGTTAGTCCGATGAAACCAAATTCAATCCTCGTCTTGCTTCGATGTGATTGACTTTTTCTCTCTTCGTTTATATCTTGATTTAGAAATTCCGTTGATTGTATAACGAATTGAGCTTATGTTCACACCGGAGCACTTGCATTAGTCAGGAGATGAGTCATCGGATTTATGTATCTTTCGATTAGGTTGCCTCTCGGTTTTAATTTTATGCCCGAACCTCTTGGATGTTTCATCCGGTTTGAGTATGGTGACACTACTAGACGCCTACTCAACAAGCAGCAAACGTCAAGGCCAACGTTCGAAGGTCAGCTGGCATCTATCTGGACAGTGAAGTTCATTCTTTCGTTACTAGGAATCATGAGTGAGTGGTTTGAAGCTAAATAACTTATAAATTTATTTAAGGTAGAATATTTTCATTAATTGGCTTACTTACTACTCACTGAGTCAAAATATATAAGCAATTTAAAAAACGTGTTCAGATTAGTAAACATACAACGGGAATTATTCATTAAAAAGAACGAATTTCTATTCTGTTTCGCATAAAATGCTTTCCAAATCTGAGCTGTAACTTTGAACTATAAACTGTATCCCGTCACTCAAGATAGCGCGAATTCAAATGGTGATAGAAGAGAACTAAGTACATATAAGTGCGAATTCAGAAATAAATACCATTCACCCATAGCCATCAACATACAAGTTTGATATTGGTAACTAGAATGTATTTCCAGAATGCGAGTACTTTTGAATAAGTTTGACCTACACCTGTATAAGGAACACATTGTCAAACAAAAGTTCTCACTGGCTGATTGATAAATAGTGATTTAAACTCCTTGTTTAGAAAAAAGATCTTTTCGTTTGCGGTGACTCAATAAACTTTAATTTGACATCAATCAACCTAGTAATTATTACACCTAAAACGGTCTCGAGTTTTGTCATCGGGGGCGCGAAACGGTTTATCGTAGATACATCTTTCAGACATATGCCGGAGTTAGGTTGAGAATGGACAAAGTGATGTACATAATAAAACGAGACACATCTGAACTCGGGTAACTTAGATGCTTACTATCTCTAGATAGTAATGACACTATTAATAATGATACCAATATAACCAGCATTCTTGACATAATCAACGAAAGGAGTAATAGGAATGTCACTAGTGGGTATTGAGGGGTTGGAAGTGAGATGTTCCAACACTGACCGCATAATTGGTGATAATTTTTTGCGGAGGGCACTTCGGACACCTGACCACGGAAACGAGAGAAATTTGATGAATTGTTTGTGTGTTTGTGTTTGCTATAATTAACCAGTGGATAAAGCACTGAAAGCAAAGCTTTTTCACTAATTCTGTTTTTGTCTAATGAATTTATCGGAATTACTTACTCATTTCAAAATTACCAATGAAATGAATTTCAGAATAATGGGGCGCTGTCACCTGAATTAATAACACCATTGACTGCTTTTATTCTAATCGATCAACCATTGAAGAACAAGAAAGAGACGGTTAATAGGTTGCAGCTCGTTAAGTAAAAACTAATAAGAAGGAGAATCAGAAACCTGGCAGTAATCAAAAACAGTGACTATTTCCACTAGCCCTTCGGCGACTTAAAACCAAAACGACCGCAATAAACGATAATTTTTTGAATCTTGCAAGTTTCTTGTGTACAGTTTAATAGCCGTTAATGGACAAGTTGAACAATAGCTCAACAAGTGATCAGACGGTTTGCTATATCATGATTTAGGCCGGAGGAAAGAACAGTGCATGGTTTGACTGCTTGAAATGGACTTCTGTTTTTACTGTTTGGGGTATATATATATATATTAACGGGTGTTAATAATCACCACTGATTCGAAGTTCCCGAGAAGGACTTGATTCGTGTATCAACATAAAATATCATGGTTCGGCAACATTTTAAGGGAGTTGGTGACATGCCCATCTGGACCGCCTGACATCGAGGCCTGTGTTTTCGCCATGGGCGTGGGGAGGTGATCTGGATTGGACAAGTGTTTCGCCAGTACTTAGGGACGAGTACTCTAGTGGTAATGCGCGAAGGATGATCAAATGTAGCATTCAGCTTTCCAGTTTTAATGAGAGTACCGAAATGTGGTTTGACTTAATGTCTCAAAACTTGGTGCGCACAGATTGAGTTAGAATAATGCATGGTTAGTACAGTAGGAATTGTATTAGCCGTTGATGATCACATCATGTTGGTATCCGAAGAACTAACATTCGTTTTCATTAGAAAGCATCGTATTTCCAGAGATGAGTGCTAACTGTTTTTTTTATGTTCAATCTGCATTTCTTAAACGACTAGACCGAACAAGGAAAGCTTTATAGTTGGAGGGTGAGGATCAGATGTGGAAAATTAGACAAAGATAATACCCGCGTTCCAGCGATCAAATATTACCTATTGGTAATCGCCATCGGTGGCTATCCTTGAATCTTCTCAGTCATCAATAATCCTCGGTTGGACAGTAGTTTTAAACCAAACCCAAAATTCCATATCATTGCACCCCCAAAATAATTTCGACATTAATTCAAAGTGGGAACTGCTTTACAAACTGGTCACTGGGACATTATTGCGGCTATCAAAACTTGACTGACAACCGATACTATGGACTCAGAATTACCCTTACTCGAGTCGATTGCTTAGACGTAATCGACCTAAGAGCGGTGATGTGTTATTTTATGCAACCGTTTGAGAGGAGCCTCACCCACTTTATTGAATTCTATGCACTTTACAATTTTGTGAAGGAGCTAACGACGTTTGAAGCGAACCATTCATCGTCGGTTTCAGACTTGATGTTAGCTAACGAGGAACTGATGGTGTAGTGATCATGCTCGATTTATGTTGTACTACATTTACAATGCACCCGTACCCCATATTTTTACGGTTAACTCCTACGATCAGTGTGATCCCTTGGTATCCTGGCAAGAATTTATGATTAATCTCACGGAAATGGTGAAGGGTGTGACCACGACAAAAAACACATTACCTACTCAACTCAATCAGTGATTCGCAGTCAAACCAAGAAGTGAATTTCGCAGGGTAATGTATCATGAAGAGCTTATACACTATTTCCTTGCAATAACACTCGGTATACCTACTGTCTACTTTGAAACCACAACACCAAGTTGGTACGGGGAAGCAATTTAATGTTCCAAGAAAAGCTGCTGCGCAAGTTTATATCCAATCCCGAGCTGTTGCACAAGCATATGAATTTGTATGCTTTCAGAAAAGTCAAGTATGGCAATCCAGCGCTGAGATTGGTAGAACGTGTTTTGATGACAACAAAGGAGGCAGCTGAATTGGTAAAAAGTCAGTGCGCTCAAATCTTCAACGCACCTGCAAACATCGCACTATGACTGACTCTGTGAATTGAGGACATACCATTTCCAACGCTCACAACAATCGATTTTTTCCTCAGAAATCATAGCAACGAAACCGTAGCATTTGAAAAGAATTTCTTTTCCCGGGATAGATAACATCAATCTATAAACCCTTATCAGCCTGGGAAGTAATAGCTCAATCATTAAGTGAGCTATTACAACAATTGCTCGAAAAAAACTGTGCTCCTACAAACAAGAAAAAAGGACTAATTTCTCTAATATACCAGTGAGGCTGTCATAGTGACCCAGCTTATTACCGTCCTGTAACTCTCCTCCCCGTAATACCCAAAGTCATGGAGTCCATTGTTACAGACAATGTGATGAGCCAATTAGAAAAATACAATCTCTTATCTCTGCTCAATACTGTTCTCGTCGCAGGCAATTGTGTATCCCTAACCTGCTTCTGGCCCGGGAAGAATGGACACAAAGCATGGTGATCATGGTGATGCAGTGGACGTAGTGTACCTTGACTTCCGCAAAGCATTCAAACGAGTGAACCACAAAATGCTGCTGAGGAAACTACACAATTATGGAATTCGGGGATTTGTACTGGATTATACACAAAAATTTATTTGACAACGCATCACGACAGTTGGGGTTTCCTGATCACTTTCTGATCCTATCAATGTAGTCCAAGAAGTTCCACAGGAACCGGTGATTGGCCCTCAATTTTTCTAGTTTTCATAGACAATCTGGAGCCACCAACGTTAATGTTTTCAGACGATACATAAATATGAATAACAAGGATAAAACCAGAGGACTCTTTGGCAGTTTAGAGAATACTTAATTCTGATTATGAATGATCGATCGAAACGATATCGAATTTCTTGCTGTACTTTCTGGGATATCAACAACTTCCGTATGTCTCGAATGGGAAGGATCTTGGTTTCATTGATCAAGAGGACCAAAGTCCTTTAATCTTGGGGGCCGTCGACCTCTGTAAGTTATGTTGCTTTACTAAAGCGAGTATTAACAAATGTAAACCTACACGGTTTCCACGGTTATCAGCCCACGT